AAAACTCACTGACGATGCCGACGAAACGTCTGGGAATGTACCACGTCCACGGTCCGACTCTGGAAATAATAATGCATACAATTGACTCAGGACAAGGTGTGTTTCTGTCAGTCTTCCTACCATTATGACCAAGTTGCGAAAACAAGGTCAAACAACTTCTTTAAATAATTCAAGATTACTCAGAAATAAAGAATCGAAAGAGAGAGATAGGACTCAAAGATGAACATTTGTAAACAAAAGAATGGAAGAAAATAAAGTCATGTATATGCATTTCAGGAGGAAATGCTGAAGAGAAGATAATTGGGAAAATAGCTTAAGCCAAGAATAAGAATAAATGAATAAATAAATTAGCAATGTAGCAACTATATAAGTCAAGGACCATGTTAAAAGGTAGGCCAATATATATATATGGATTGATTAGGGAAAGTTTTGTATGGTATATATCCTTTATAGGTTGGATTATAGACTCCCCGATGACCAAGGTCGATGGAAGACTGTAAAGGCCTTATTGGAGCCTTTTGCGCGACTATATTTCGGCCTCATTCCCATCTTTCAAGATAGTGTCAAAAAATTAAACGTTAATTAGACTTGCAGGCACGATGTTAACTTGTTCAATTTGAGTAATCTGTTGTAAATTTACCTAATCAACTATTTGTTAATTTACATGTCTTTTTCTGCCCAGAAGCAGTTATTAGACTGAACATAGTGATCTAAATGACAGTGCCAAAATTTTAGTTGGGATATTCGCAGAGTATTCAAAATAAGTAGGTTTCGAGACTATCAATAGAACTTGAAGAAGAACTGTATTCACCTCAATGATGAAAGACTGGTGGTTGAATTTTCCCATAATTATATGGATAAGCCTCATAATTCCATAATTCATAATTCGCCTTGCCTACTCAAATTAATTATCATCCAAATTTATTTGTTGTTTCGATCTCAATTGGGTCTCATCTCCACCCACAACATTAATCGAAATCGGATCGTGCAACGTATGTTTTTGACATGTCATTACTACGTAAAACAGTTACGGATGCCAGTGAGACACAGGAGACACACGACTTTTAGTGGAAGCTAGGCCTTTGGTATATAACACTTATTAAATTCGAATATAAGTTTTTCATCACTTTATTCAATCTAGAGTAACTATATGTCTTAATAAAGATTTTCCAGTACTCTCGTAACTCATTTACTATGAATATAAGTGAAGTGGTCTATAGCATAATCGACAATCTTACTAGAAATACGATATTGAAAAGGCCTGGCTTGTTTAAATAGCACATATGCTCTGGCACCCGTTGAACTGTGATGTAGTAGTTATGTTTCGTATGTAAGTAGAGTTTTGAGACTAGCAGTAAATCATTAAAATATGAGATGCATTCACTAATTTAGTTTAAGGTAATGAAGGACTGATAGTAGAATTGTCCCAGAATGAAATAAGTAGATCTGACGTTTCCATTGAATTTCACACAGCCTTGCTTTCTCATCCAGGGTGGACTGCAGTTTCGACTTCACGTAGGTTTATCAACTCCCCCAGCGGGAGTCGAACCCTGAGAGTGCAGAATGTGAGGTTGACACATCAACCACTCGTCCACATTGCCACGAGTGCCCTTGGGTCACAGGGAAGATGTGAATTTCAAGGAGGCCAAGCCTTTTCCCATATCACATTCTTTTGTGAGTGTCGATGTACTTTTGCTATAACAATCGAATAATTTACATATTTTTCATACATCAGTGGAGTGTCGAGAAGCCGGGTGGTTAACGCGTCAAGCTCATATTCTGCACTATCACGGTTCGACTCTCGCTAGGGGCGTTGATAAGACCTATACGAGGTCGAAACTGCAGTCCACTCTGGATGAAAAAGACTTTTGGGAAAGCAAGTCTATATGAAATTCAATGGAAACGTCAGCTCTACTCATAAAATTGTGGGAAAATTCTACTACCAGTCCTTCATCACCTTAAACGGAATAGGATGAAAACATCTCATAGTAGTCATATATTGAAAATATACTAGATACTACCCAAATTCAATTTTCGGTTAGGGTTGTTGATGATACTCGGGCGAGGTTAAAACTGCAATCAATTCTGGATGATAATATCTTTTGTGATACAATGCTGATGCAATTAAATGGAATCGTGAAGCCTATTTATAATATTGTGATGAATTTCAACTACCCGTCCTTTATCACCTTAAGCAATCTAGGGTAATTAAATATCGATTGATCATTGTATAACTTGGTTTTGAGGATTGGTTAAGACAGGACCAAGAGGCATTCATGTATTCTTTGGGCTTATCACCCTTTTCACCTTTAGCGAAACAGTGAGTTTAATAAAATCTCTCTTTAAAAAGACCGACCTCAAGCTGCTCAATGATTCGTTCCTTCTCGGCTAGTAGATTCCTAAGACGCGTGAGCTCAGATTCTTCTTCCTTCTGATTGCTAATGCTATTCGATTCAATTTGGCGACTTGATACAAGTGTCTGCTCTCGCTCTAGATAACGAATAACCTGCATTAAATAAAACAAAAAATAGATAAAGAAATAGTTCTAATACGTCAAATAAGCATGGTAAAGACTAGATGGTATCTTAAGACTTTATTTATTAACAAATTTTATGGAAGCTGCAAATCATCTGGAAAATGCTGATTTTACTGACAGATATATACCAAAATAATTGATTGCTGATCAAAATACCTTATTGATCAACTACCTAACCTGCTATACACGTTTGCGCTTTCATGTCGAGTTATAGATAAGTTTCCACTTATTTATTGAAATAAACCCAGAAAGAGAATACTGATTATCCGTAGCCAACATGGACTTTAAGCTCTAAACAAATAGTAAATTTTGATACATTTATTTCTCCACTAATCAGGTTAAGTAATTTTTTCTACTTCTCTCCCCCAAATAAACATACAATTAGAAAAGATGATTCGAACAAAGTAGGGAACGACACATCATCTTCAAAAATTATTGTATATAATGGTAGAAAGACGAAATAAACTAGTAATATGAAGAATAATTGGGTTTCGATAATTTCTCCTGAGACAACGTTATTGTTGGGACTTTCAATTTTTAATGAAAGATTATGAAGAAGAGACTCGTAGGTTGATCTCACCAAAGGAGGACGGTCGAATCGCGTAGTACTGTCTTAGTCCAACCGTCATTTTTTAAAGGCACGTGCTATTCATCTGAGATACTTATGAGAAAAATCTATGCTCATCTATACTTTTATATGGTTTTATGAACAATAACTTAATTTACGAATTTGGTCCACCCGACAATTGTTTAAGTTAGTCTAAGACGATCCATTCAACAATTTACCCCAGAAATTTGAAAAAGTTTGCATTCTCATTGTTTCATTAAAGTTCTGCTTGATGAACTGGATGAACAAGACGTGGTAGTGATTGCTTTGATATAACACTATCAAGTTAATGCAAGCCAAATTGTTTAGCCTATCGTTCTGAAGTCAACATTTCATTAAATATATTTCTGCAATCCCGATAAATACTGATTGCGCAATCATTTGTCAATGAAGAAATATCATATGGATGAGGACCTAAGCATGACATTTAATTTTACCTAGACTTGCCTCCCAAAGGGCTATCTATAACAGGGCAGATTTAAGTTTCGGCCTTATCTTCTCCTCATCAGCATCCCTGGATGAGGAACAGGGCTGGGTTAAATTCAATAAAATTATGATACTTAGTTATCTGATTGTGGGAAAATTCATATATCAGTAGTTAAGAAAAGTCACCTTAAGCGAAATAAAGTGACTAAGTTCTTAATCAATGTACCTGACGGGCTGAAAATAAAATAAAAATAAATACTCGAAGATATGAAGACCAAGATGGTGTGGCCTTTTGTTGTATAGTTCTTATTTGACCTTTTTTCACAACTTGGTCATATTAGTAGGAAGACTTAGAGGAGCACATCTAGTCCGGAGTCCCTTGTATGCATCATCATTTCTAGAGTAGGACCGTGGACGTGGTACATTCCCAGACGTTTCGCCAGCATCGTCAGTGAGTCTCGCTATTCGTAGCACCATATTAAAACGCGTCAGAGACAAGTGAAGCCCACCCTTTGACCAAACGTGTGCTAAACAGTTATAGTATCTCCCTTTCTGCCCTAGCCTATTCACATTTCCTATATCCTCCTATCATGCCTTCACTGTCACAATTTTTTACCGAGCTTATTTTAAATGTATTGTGGTGTGCTCCTTCGAGCGGCATTCATGAAAACAATTTCATACTCCACACTGTCGTTCTCACCCCCTTCACCTTTGTGCTGGGAATGTTGACCAGTCTGTCATATTGTTATGTAGTCCTTCCCTGGGCGCTATCAATTCTCCCTCATGCCCCGTCGAATCCGTCTGCTATCGCCCTGGTACATGTACTTCATTTAACCCCTGCCCCCCCCCATCTGTGCTATTTGAGGCGTAATTAAGCCACCACTGCGCATGGGTGACTAATTCGAGGCTAAAGCCTCTGAATAAGTCTCATGGTCATGCCTTTGCTACATGGACCACATCTCATGTAAAACCTACTGTCAGCCAACTAGCTCCAATCGCCGCCTCATCTATCCTGTCTCTATTCCTAATACCAAGTCTATTTCTCGCCATGCCCTAGTTGCTTGTGTGAACCCACAAT